CCACATGGAGAGATTCATGAAAATCTCTTACGGTGGACTCTCTGTGGATGCGTCGGTTGGGTTTGCCCAGAGCCTCGATGATCTCCAGAGAGTAGAGCAGCTTGTGTGGACTTTTGATCCTCAGCAGTTCCTTCCAGCACAGACCCTCCCCATTCTACACACACACACACACACACACAACAAACACATGTTCAGTGTTCGACAGTAAATCACAACATGAGGAAATCTACCTGTCTTTTTCCTTTGTGGTTGTTAAGTTTGCAGAAAGGCAACTCTGGAAAAAACACTCCCTGTAATTCTGACGAGCTCACACCAGAATCTGTGACCTCGGCTATGAGAGCTTGTGAGAGTTGTTCGGAGAATGTGGCGACTGACCGTATCGTCCGAGATGTTCTGGAAGGCCTGCAGCATCTTGGGACACGTAGGAAGGAGCATCAGCAGCTCCCAGACCCGACGAGACAGATTCTCTGCGTGGAGGTGAAGCTCCTCGCACCGTGCGCTCTAGAGGAGGCACAATGTTGAATGTTATAGAATAAGATGATATAGTTTTATTTTCTGAGGGTTAAGTTTTAAACAGAATCTCTCACCTCAGGGCTCTCGTGGACCTTTTCGGTGCTGGGACTGGGCGGTTTGAAGCAGGCCAACATCTCCAGCAGGTCGAACAGTGTGGTGAGGTGAGGCTCCTGGAGGAGCAGCAGCATGGGGATGTGCTCCTTCTGCGGAGGAGGCAGACAGGAGGCCGGCAGCTGGATGCCCTCCCCCTTCCTCTCCCTCCGCGGAGCTCCGAGAGAAACAAACACCATCTGGGAAGATGGAGAAAAACACAAACATGACGCTGTGATGAATAAAACCAAGTGGACTCCTCTCATCAGGCGTCAGTTCTCAGCTGAACTTCTGATCTTTGAACAGAGACATGTTTCCTACCTGCATGTCTTTGAAGCCCAGCTCATGCAGAGTCTTCTCATCGTAGTCGGTGGTGAGTTCGTGGCCGGAGGAAATCATCCTGACAGGTCCCATCAAACCACCTGCAGGACACATCGACGGACAAATCAACCAAGGGTCAAACTCCCGGCAACGCAACAACAAGTAAAGTGGAGAAACAAAGGCCGCAGTGGCTGCAACACTTTACCGGGGAAGTCTCCCGGCTGCCGGCTGCTCTGGCCGAACTCCTGCAGCTGAGCCTGCTGGTTCATCTGCTCCTTCTGGAGGTTCTCGTACCAGTGGGTCACCTCGGCTCGCAGGTCGGCCACCTGGTCACTGGGGTACATCTCGATCGTCATCTACAAGAACACAACACACTGACGTGTGAACCTGGGCTGGATCCGCTCACTTCAGACAGTTTTTCTTTTGAATGTCACAGAAAGACTTTCGGGTCGTCCACTACATCCGTGGACACAGTTATTGATTCCACGTGAGAAGGGACGGTTTGTTGTGTCAAATATAAATGTGTCACCTTGTCCGGGAGGCCGGCCGGCTGACAGACGATCCTCAGCGGCAGAGACTGTTTGTCGCTCAGAGCCTTCAGGTGGCTGCTGATTCCCGTCCCCTCGATCTGCCACTGCCGCAGGTGGTACGCAAACCTGACAGGAACAGGAGAGGAAGCGCTGTGTTGTTGAGACGCGTTTGTTAAGACATGGACGCAGTATTGGACACCGAGGCTACGTCCACGCTAATACTCGACCTCCAGAAGAGCATCTTAGCTCCAAGCGCGTCACATGGCCGTTCACGTCCACAGGTATTCATAGTCGTTGCTAAGAACCAATCAGGAGGAGGCCTTGGGCAACTGTGTCATTGTTAGCGGTGCGACGGCCAGCCGTAACCATAGCAACAGCGATGAGTTTTAAATGTAAAATGCAGGTACACTGTGTAGTGTGCGTGTCTGAGCCCTCGTGCAAATGTATCAGGGGGTGGGCATGTAGCTCACCTGCGTCTAAAGGCCTCCAGGTGTGTCTTGAGCATGAGCAGCCCCCTCTCGATGCTGGTCAGGCTGGAGTGAGCGTCCTTCTCCAGGTTAGCGGACGCCATCAGCAGACTCTCCATACACTTCCTGATAAACTCCTGCTCCTTCTCCAGCCCCGTCTTTCCCGCTGTGGATGTCAACATGTCAGGAAAAGGTCAGCTTCAGATTCAGGATGTGATCAAACGCCAGAGACAGTAAAACGTGTGTGAGGAGAACTGACCGTTGATGTAGTAGGAGTTGATGTACTGGATGGCGGCGCGGCTGATGTCGGCAGACTGCGCTCTCAGAGCGATCCCCCACAGCTGGTCCATCCCACACAGCTGGAGAGACACAACATTAGGGGAGAGTAAAGCATCTGCTCTGATGTGACAGAAGACAGAGTGAGTGTAGAACTTCTGAGGTGAATGTAAAATGACGATGAAAGAGTTGTCGTGCACCTCGCAGCTGGAGGCGTTGTCCAGGGCGCTGGTGGCGAGGCGGGCCAGGTTACAGAGGTGCTGGAAGAGGTTGAGGCCTGTCATGCTGATGGTCTCTGGCTTCAGCTGAGGCATCTGGAGACACAGTGACGACAACTCAAACACAAACCAAGAATCAACACACAGCTGCTGCTCCAGCTGTTGTTCTTCTTATGCCACCAGGCTCAGACAATCCTCCACAAACACTTGAAACCGATTGAAAAGAACAAAACATTACAAATTCCATGAGCAGAGAAAATCCTGAAAATATTCTGACATGGACATGTTCAGTAAAATTCTTCTTCTTGAACACTGTGCCGTCTCGTCTCTACCTTCTCCAGGAAGAGGTGCTTGTAGGTCTCCATGCCCATTGCATGCTGGTCCTTGCTGCGGACCTGATTGAGGAACCAGTGCAGCGCGTCATCGTAACACTCGGCGTCCTCCACCAGACAGTGCCACAGGATGTCCACCTGCTCCAGACTCAGTCCTGAGAGACGGAAACAGCTGTTTGAATTCTTGTATTTTTAAAAAACAACTCAGGGTGGAAGTGGAGTCTGACTTCTCTGCACCGTGGTTCTCCTTTCCTGAATGCCTCCGTATTGCTCCTGTGGTGTCGGCAAGCACATTCAAATACGACTAAAGACCTCATTTCGAGTTGAGTCTAAGGACGACACCACAGGAACAATATGTAGACATTTTCCGCTTTATTCTATTGTTTCTACTTTGCCAATTTATACTCAAGCGAACGCTGACAGAAATCATTTTTGTGGCTCTACACTGTGACCGGAGGTTTCTCACCGTCTGTGTTTGAGTCTTTAAACAACGTTTCGCTTCCTGAGTCTGAAGATGAAACGTACACGTTTGCAATGAAGTCAAATGTGGTAAAAACTGATTAACGGGTAATATTCAGTGTTATGTAATTTTCTCTCAGACGCACACGCGCACACAGCGGAAGCATTGTTCTCGGCAGTATGCGGCTCAGGTTGCATAAAGAGGTCTATTTTAAAATTGTTCCCTGAAGTCTCACAGAAACACCAGACACACACTGAGTACATGAGCGTCTGCAATGTTCTACAAATCACATCTGAGTTCTTATTGCATCTCAAACTTCACTTGACTCCCAGCCGCTGCCTTCTCCTCAGGAAACATGGAGACTTGAGCATCCTTGGTAGAGACACTGACAGCAGAAATATTGTTTCTGCAGAGATGTGCTGATGTTTTTCTCAAGTTTTCAACGTTTTGAGAACCAAAAACTAAATTCCAGTGTGGCGGCAGCAGAAGTTCAGCGAGTCAAAACTCTAAACTTTGTGTAGCTCAGTGTCTCGGGGGAAAGTTGAGGACTGAGGGCCGGTAATAACCACCATAAAATAAAATCACTGCATCGTTTGTAGGATTGCACAAAAACTACTGAACAGGTTTCCAGTAAACTCGGTGGAAGGAAGGGACAAGATGGAACCAGACAGACGGATCCAGGAATTTTTTACCTCCAGTTTATAAACGGTGAGATGGGACTTTTTTTTTTTTTTTTGCATTAATTTGTTGCAGCTCGATTGAACTTCAGGGGACTGTTTGGCCTTTGGCGTCACATATGACACAGGTCACCAGTCGAACACACGAAGCAGAATCTTACTGAAGTGGTCTGGAGATCCCAGCGTAGAGAAGACACAGGTGAGGAACTGCAGGCGGACCTGGACCTCCGCACTGTGGCTGTACCTGCAAAAAAAACCAACAGAAGAAGAAGACAACAGCGCACGAGTCATTTCATGTCATCTCGAGCTTCAAGTCACATTTCACAAAAACAAGTAAATCTCAAATATCTTGCGGGATGAAATCAGGAACTCACAGTGCAAACTTGTGCCGTTGCTCTCGGACTTCGTGGATGTAGTGTTGCAGGTTGTCGAAGAACAGTTTCATCATGTGCAGCTCTTTCTCAGCCCACCTGAAGAATAAACAAAAACATCGGCACAAAGCTCAGATCCATATTTTAACTTCTCTGTTTTCTACTTTCAGGAAGTGTCGGCTCACGGTACATGGTTATCGAGGAGGAGGATGTTACTTACATGGTGATCCAGTGAGTGTCGTAGCTTGAGCCGAACTGCTGAAAAGTGCCAAATAGTTTGGGTAGTAGACGCAAGGAAACCACAACGGACCTAAGAGAAGATGAAAAGATGAGGATCGAACACAAGACGGGAAGAAAAAGAATATCACGAGAGATTTTTTTATTTTTTTATTCTAAGGGTCATAGGTCTCTCTTACCTGTGATGGGCCAAGTTGTCAAGGCAACCCTCGATGAAGCGCATGCGGATCTGTCTGTCGGTGAACCAGCAGACGAGCGAACACAGCAGCTTCTCCGCTTCATTAATCAAACCTTCAGACAAGTGGATCTAAAAGAAACACAGTCAAAATGAAGATTCCACACGTTCGCGTGTTCCTCCCTTCAGAGCCAGATGAGATATGCAGTTTGTTTAATAGGGCTGATGTGGAGCGATACTGAAGCCGATTAGAGCAGAGTTTGAAAATAACGATGAAGACGATTAGGACTCAATGATTTACCATAGCTGCCAACGAAAGCTAAACGTTTAAGATATCAAATATTTTTTTTACTTCATGTCTCCAAGGCGGTTTTTGTAAATTCAACTCGTCAGAAAAACTTCAGGTGAGTGTTTTCAAACAGCGCTGACGTTATAAAGTACATTTCATACTGCGCCGTAGGTCTTAATGGGTTCAAATAGAACTGAAGAAACATTTAATACACGTCAATAAAAAAAGAAGCTGTACCGCGTCCTCGTCCTGCACCAGGTCCCACAGCAGAGTGTTGCCCTTCTTACAGACGTTGTCCAGGTTGATGTCAGTCACGGCGTGGCTGCTGGAGTACTGGTGCTTGTGAACAGCTGGACCTGCAGAGATAAACAGCCGTCACAGAATCAGCTCCTCTGCTCCTTTGGTGGGATGTTCACACTGTACATTTAGCCGTTAGCAGCTGGAGGCAGACATAGTGGAAACAGCGCACCTTGCACCAGGTGCTCATGGTAGATGGAGGCCAAGTTGGGGAGGTGCTGCTGGAGGTGGGAGCTGAGCTCAGCGTGGGAATTGATTTGGACCAGCTCCTCTTCGCAGCCCGACTCCTCGCCGTCAAAGTCCGCCATGTTCTTCTCTGACTTGGCGCTGACCTGGGAGCTGCTGCAGCTCACATCGTCGGCACTCAGCATGTCCTCCACCATGGGACTGAGAGAAGAACAAATGGTTTTACATCAGCAAGTATGAGCGCAAGGTATGTTCTACAGTGTCTGCAGGGAAGTAAGAGCCAAGATGGTCACAATCAGCAAAACAGCAGTGGCAAGATTTGCAGAGAATATTCATGGTCCCCAGAGGTTAAACTGAATGTCCTGGCAGTTCTATCTCTACCACTATCAGACTAATATACAAAACACAGAATAAGGTTTTCTCAACAAGAGCTGCTCTGCCATCCTCTTTAGGCCAGAAAAAAACAAGAACACACGACTGCTCATGATCCCAAATGCTCACGACTTTAATGAGCGAATTCAAACTCCCCAGAGGATCAACTCTCTTCATTATATTGATCCTCGCAGCTTTTCTCAAGCCGCATTCTTTGTATTTTAGCAGCTCGGCGCTGGTGTGAAGGAGGATTTGAAGCCAAAGACACCAGACGTCAGAGCAGAGCTTCTTCAGAATGAATGAAAAGCTTTCGCACAACTTTCAGGTTCTGACACATTTCTTCCACGAGCAGGCGAATTTAGTTTTATGGGCCCCGTCAGGTAAACTCCGCTCTGACGGACTGAAAACTAAAGTTTTATCATCTTTATTATTCTACTGAAACGTGTGAGGGACAGAAACAGCCTCACCCTTCATGATGGTGGTGATGGTGGTGGTGGTGGTGGTGATGGTGTTGGGGTCCGATGAAGCGGCGGCAGTTAAAGAGGTCACTGCCCATGGCCTCTCCCAGGAAGTCCCCTGGCCGGGGCAGACAGGGCGGCTCCTGAGGCCCCTGCACCATCTGGGAGGGGCCGATGTCCAGTGGCTGCTGCTGGGGCTCCGCCCCCTCAGGCCGAGATGACGCAGAGCAGGCGTCCAGCAGCCTCATGCGGCCTTCGACAGATGCTGACGCGGCTGTAGCCATGACAGCAGAAGTCTCTGGGTTGAAGGGCAGAACCTTGGGTTTGCCCCCGCCCCCTGTGCCACTAGGCCCCGCCCCCTGACTCGACCCTTCGCCGAGCGCATCCCCCGCTTTCCTTTTCCTGGATTCCGGCTGCTCCCGGGACTCCTTCTGCTGACTGCCTTCAGCAGCAGATCGGTTCACCTCGTCTTCATCCTCTTCGTCATCGTCGTCATCCTCCTCCTCGTCGTCTTCCTCTTCGTCGTCTTCCTCCTCCTCCTTTAAGGCCTCGCTGTCTGCCATGTCGTCAGAGTGCATCTCGCTGCCGGGGCTCCCTGCTGACTGGCTGGCTCTGCTGGAGGCGGCTTCGTTGCTGGAGGCCTCACTGCGGCCGCTGCTGCTGCCCGGCCCGCTGCTGCCTTCCTCCACGCTGTTGGCCGTCTCGTCCGAGCTGCCCTGCATCGACTCCTGAAACAACAGAGAAAAAGGGGACATCATAAACTTTAACAGCTTCTGTGTGGCGGTCAGAGACAATCTTCTGAATTGTCCTGTGTAGAAACGAGGGGAACACAGTATGTTACATGGTGGCGCAGACACTTTGTGTAAAAAAGAGAAGCCAGGAATGTGAAGAAGGTGCATCAGGACCCGGGTTTTCAGACGTAAACGTAAAAGATTGAGGAGGAAAGACATACATGAGCATCTTCCTTCTGCCTGAGCCTTTTCAGTCACTTTATACATAGAACGTTAACTATGCATTCACCGTGTATAATGTTTCCATGACTGAGTAAAGATACGATCGTCCGGATCAGACTTCAGAGAACAGAGTTTTTTACTGATTGTTCAGGTTTAGTAAATGTCGTTTGATGATTTTATTTATCGTTGGTTCTCGATTAACGATATGTTTGGTTTTGAATCGTTTCTCATTTTAGAGAAAATCTTTGGTGTCGGGAAACATCACCAGTTCAGCTGTGATCCCAGTTTTATTTTCTGAACTCACTGTGTTTCGTTTATTTTGTGTGTGTGTGTGTGTGTGTGTGTGTGTGTGTCTAGTACCTCTGTGTCAGAAAGCCTCTGCTGGCTCCTCTTGCTGCCAGTCATCATCTGGTCGTCCATCTCCATGTCGCTGCCTCCGCTGTGCTGCGTGTCACTGTTGTCGCTGCTGTCCGGACTCGCGGCCGGTGAACCTGAGAACAAACAAGGTGAAAGACTGACAACCAGGAAACTACAACCACTCACGTACAGGTAACACACACACACACATACAGTGCATCGTTCAACCAATCAGGAGCACTTTGGGTACATGCAGACTGAGGAGATAGGGATTGAACTGGCGACCCTCAGGTTAGTGGTTAACCCGCTCTACCTCCTGAGATACAGCCATCCCAGGCGAGGGGGTGATGTTGTCCATCTTTAGTTACAGGTTCATAATATGTGTAGACTTGGAAGGAATTTAATTAAAAGGTGTATTTTGGTTACGACCAAAAATGTGTGTTGTAAGGTCACGTGACCTTTGGCCAGAAAAATCTATTATATCATATATACATATATATTTAGATATGTGAGTATATATGATATCATTCATCTGTAAAACCAAGAGGGGTGAAGATATCAGATCGATGAGCTCACAGTCATCTTGACCTTTAACCACCAAAATCTTATCAGGTCGTCCTTGAATCCAAGTGAACATTTGTACCGAATCAAATCAAATTCCCTCCGAGCATTCTTGACAGACTGCGTTTTGAAGACACCAAAATTGAGGTTTGACAAAGACGACTTCAGAAGATGAATCCAGACCTTTCTTGTTGCCCATGGGGATGTTGGTGTTGAGCAGGGAGGCGAAGGAGCTTTGTTTGGAGAGCTGGGCCTTTGCTGCCAGCGCGTTGTTCCACAGGGCCTTGATCAGCATGGAGGCCAGGTACAACGTCTGAGGAGAGAGGGAGGCTCATGAGTGACGATCGCGGCGCTGTGACATTCACAGAGTCTGGGGTTCTTTTTTTTTTTTTTTACCTGCTCTGTGTGGGCGCTGGGGTGCAGGCCGGACACCAGGTTGAGGACGTGGCGGAGAGGCACTGGGTCCAGGTTTTTGATGAGTGAGGGGAAAAGGTCGTGGATGTAGCGGCTGCAGTGTTTCAGCTAAAAAACACAAAACAAACACTTTTAATGAATCTTACGTCTGGAGAGAAGGAAAATCTACCTCTTTATGAAGCGGTCGGTCCCGTCTCACCTGCGCTGCAGCCCAGATACAGTCCACATGCTGCGTGCTGAGTCGGCCCTCTGCAGCCAAGAAATTCAGGATCACTTGGCACTGTTTAATGATCTGGAGAACACACACACACACACACTCTTGTCAATGTCATATTCTTTGTTGACATGGTGACGCAGTGAGGGATGATGGGAGTTGTAGTCTTCTCCCGGTTAGATTCCTTCAGTGTTGATGGTTGAGGAGTTTTTATCTGGATTGTCCTCAGACGTCTCCTCCTCCAAAACAGACAAACATCTGATTCACTCCAGTAAAAACAGTGAACGAAGCAGCTTCATGTTAAACTCAGTGTCTCTCTGACTCGTCTCTGATGAGTCGAGCTGCCGCTAACGCTCGCTCAGCTCGTTTCTCTGAAAACCTCAGATCCAGACGTCCGACAACAAAATCCTTCATCTGCTTCAAAGTTAAAAAACCACCAAGATCGAAAAAGTGTTTGGAAAAATTTGATTTTAAAACTGGATGAAAAGTCGCTTTTGACTCTTCTGGCAGATAAATGCAGACACACGCACAAAGAGGATATGACGCCACCAACAGGCGATCGAATGAAACGCACCGTTACCTTGATTAAAACTACAGATTTCTGCAGGTTTGAAAATATAAAGTAAGAACACAACAAAAAGACTTTTACAGATATGCCACATCACTGGTCTCACCTCAATGTGCAAATTGGGTCCAAATATGTGCTCCACCACATTGTTGTGAATCAACCAGTCGGCGAGTTCCTTTGCTATGGACCTGGAAGCAGGAAGCAGAATCACAGTGAGTTCAGGTTAAAACGGGCTGAACACACACCAGTGACAGAGAGTTTGGTTTAATATTACATTTATTAACACATTTATAAAAACAATCTACATTACCTCGTGTTTCAAACTGTCTGGACTAACGTTAACGTAGAGTCAACAGTTCGTGACAAGTCATGACGTTTGTATTTGAAAAAGTTAACACCCTCCAGAATCTTTCTCAGATCTTAACTGAAACTAAATCCTCGGGTCCTGAAATGTTTTAATCCTGATAATAAAGTTCATTATTATAAAAAATGTTGTTTAGACCATCTGAGAAAAATGAACACGAGTTTGTGGATCTCAGTGAAATACCAATAGTGTAATATTGTTTTATTTTGACATAGTAAAATACCAGCTTTGATTATGTTGATTGAATTACTCTTCAACATAGACACACCTCGTGTTCATGATCCCTTTCAGCAAACTTACGTTTCTGTGTCGGACACCAGGGACTCGTTGTTGCAGACGTCATTGAACGTGTGGAGCTGATTCTGGGAAATCAAACATACATGCACACGATGTGTCAACAGACAATACATCAAGAAATAAGAATAATTATCACTGATTGTTAAGAACATTCAGTGAACACAGCATCAGTCTTCATAAGACACAGCTACTGTTGTTTTTTCGCTGTGCACAGAGGGGATATGACGCCACCAACAGGCGGTCAAATGAAATGCACCATTACATTGATTAAAAGTACAGATTTCTCCAGGTTGTAAAACACAATGTTAATATATAATCACAGGTCTGATTAATTAAAAGTTTTGAAGCGTTAAAATCTGAACAAGGAAAATAAATCCTCGTGTCACTGAATAACATAATTAACACGAACTACTACAAGTGTGTAATGTATTTGTTAGAAATACTTCATTATTTTGATATTTTCTCCACCACTAGAAACTGCTGAGTTTGCAGAGAAAGGAAAAGTGCAGCTGAAAGTTAACAGAACAATAAAGTGAGGCTGCTTCTGTGTTGACGGTTTGGAAACAGAGACTAACAGATGTTTCCATGCTGCTGCTGCTGCGAGGAGTCCAGTGAACACCCACACGGCCTGAAGCGACGCTGAGGCGGTGACTGTGAGTGTGACTCACAGTGATTTGGCTGAGTCCGGCCAGCCTCATGGTGAGCGTGGGGGACATGAAGTATTTGAAGGCGAGGTCCAGGCTCTCCTTGTCGAAGCACAGCGCGCTGTCCAGCGGCTCCTTCACCGTGCTCCACATCAGGTCGGCCATGTTGCGTGCCGCGCTCTGCCGCAGCTCCTGGTCCGACAGCTTACACAGGTACCTGCAGATGAGACGGCGTCCAGAGTTGACTTGGATTCCAACAAGTGTCTTTTTCTTGATTGGAACGACAGACTGAGATAACTGTGACCTTTGACCACTGATATCGAATCACATTAAGAAATTCCCATAAGACTCGAGATTTCGTGTTTAAGAGGCTAAACCAGGTTTGTGAGGTCATGGCGACCTTTGACCTTTAACAACCAAAACAAATTCACGCTCGAGTCCAAGTGAACGTTTGTGTCAAATTTGAAAAAAAAAGATATCGTGTTCGCAAGAATGTGACGGATGGACAGAAAGCACGATGCCACAGAGGGAAGCTGCTGGAGACTAAACTAAACTAACACGTCTGAATCTTTGAGGTTTAACATAAACTCCACTGAGTTACTAAACATCAACAAGGAGCTTGATGGATGTTTGAGTCGTTGTAATTAATAATTATCCTGATGAGAATCGTCACTTTACTGAGCCTCGGTTCAGTCAGACAGAAGAGCAGCAGAGCATCATGTGTACACGCCCTTAGTCTACATCACATGACCAGCTCCGCCGGCACCCTGCCTCCTACGAGGGTCATGTGAGGAGAGGTTGACTGGAGGCCTGGTAACTGTTGCCACGGTGACAGAAGCTCTTCCTAGCAACCAACGTGTGGTACTCTGGTATTTGGGGGAGAGAGCACGAGAGCGTGAGGAGCTCTCACTGACAGAACGGGAGAGGGAACGAGCTCAGACAGAATCGACCACGTCTGACTTCCTCGCCTCAAATGACGGCAAACATCAAATCCATCTCGTCCGGCTGGAGCACTGACATTCACGGTTTTCCAAAGAATTTAAAGGTGAAAACAAACGACTGTTGATTTCTGACGAGACGGAATAATTAAACCCTCCTGTTCATTAGTTCTGTTTTTTTGAGCCAGAACTTTTACCTCACATCTCCTCGGCTGACGAGGGGAGAAAGGTGTCAGACAAAATGGCAGCTTCTCAGTCAAATCAAACACAGGCAGTGAAACCTCACAAACAGAACCCCCGTTGTTGCTTCACAGCTGCACGAGGGACTCACGAACACAGAGTTGGCAGAATAATAATAATAATTAAACATACATATATTGATACATGCGGTGTTTGAGCTCAAGCAAATCTATCTACGGGGACAAATAAAGTCCCCTCACCTGACACTTGGAGAGTTCGGCCCCTCGGATACTTTACAGGACCGTACACAATGTGCGTGGCCTTTAAGAACAGCCTACCCCCCCCCACAGCATCTTCGTTTCGTTTCCAAAAAGTTGGAAACAGCTGAGAAACATGTGTACACGCCCTTAGTCCACACAAATATTTTCTTTTGGGTCATTAAGTCCTGTTCTACATGTCACGTGGGCGTGTCCCCCTCAAATCCAACTGATAGAAATCCTTCCCTGAGTCATTAAAGCTGCTTTGAGATTCGCACTGAACTCAATCTCCTGCTTCTCTCCGGAGGGGCTGTGTGTGAGAATGCAAATGTCCAAGTCAGAGGCTGTGGACATTCCCCCCCGAGTTTGTCCTGAGAGGCGCCGAGTAATACCTCCAGATAATGTCTGGACTTCATCGTTGGACATTCTCTGGAGTTCTGGCTTAGGTTCTTTTATCCGAGCATGAAAACGAGACCTTACGTGACAGTTTTGAATTTGTGCTCTGCTGGAATTACCAGAGTCACTTCAGGACAGCGGGGGTCCACTACAGGTGGACATGGGCTCTTTTAAATGGACGTTAAAGAAATGGAAAATATTTGGTCAATGTGACATCTGCCTCTGTTAAAAACATCTGTTTCATGTAAACTCACCGTATTACGTAGGTACGGAACGGTATGATGTGCTGCATGACCGCGGGAATGTGCAACCATATACGAATCTGTGGAGAGAAACAAAAATAATCACAGTGTAAAATCTTCAAGATCAAACTCAAGTCATTGAATCTGCATTCAACCCGCCCTTTCTCTGCAATGAGGAGACTTTACATCAGGAAAACAGTTTCACAGCCATTAAAGAATCTAACGCAATGTCCCTCCAAACCCACTCAACAATTTAACACATGTTCATTTCTATCCACTTCCTTGTTCGGACCCTGACGTGTTTCAGAGATGAGTCCTGAACAGGAGCGTGTTCCCTTCGTCTGCGTGGTGGACTCACGTTGGAGACGATGGTGATGAAGGCGTGGGCGATGGGGAAGGGGAGGCTCTCCGGCGTGCCCGACTCGAAGCACTCCTTCATCAGGGAGAGGCCGTGCTTCCCGCAGAACAGACAGACGTAACGCAGCAGATGCAGCGGCACCTCCACGTCCTGGTCAGGGATGACAGCAGATGTGAGACACATGGACTAATACACGACTTTAAGACGGAGTTTCATCACAACGTGTTTATGTGTGTACGACTGAGCAGAGAAGAATTCAATGAGCGTTAGCTTTTCCTAAACGTATTTAAAGCTTTGAACGTAATACTTCAACAAACTTGAGACTTTTCAAATGATTTCAAACTTTAAGATCTGAGGTTCATAAATTCAGACCTTGTTTTGAATTGATTCAAACTAAAAGTGCGTATTTTAACTTGTATAAATCATCGTCCAACATTTATTCTTTATATTTTCAATCAATACGATAAAGGTGCGCTCCGAAACATGAAGGCTCCCTCACGGGGCAGAGTTGATAACAGACAACCAGTAAAAGTAATAAATAAGAGATGATATAAAAACTACAATATCACTGAGTACATCTCGTTCCTTAAATTAAATCAAACTACCTTTAATTACACACACTCAGAAATATCCGTGCTTTAAATATTTCAGATTTTTATCCTGAAGATCAATGAATTGAATAATTCGCTTGGAAATTCTCACAACGTTAAAGAACAATACACATTCAGCACAATTCTACGAGTACTACTTTAATTTCCTTCTTTTGTTTTCATCTCAGATCGTCGAGAGCTGCAGCGACCGAAGAACTCCTGTTGCTATGGACGTTTTTACACGAGGCTCAGCAAACTGTGATAATAATGTGGGCGTCGACAAAACAACCAGAGGACAGGAAACGTGGACAATACTCAGATAAGCAGAAAACTACACTCAACTTCAAAACCCCGACATGTGCACAATAAAAAGAGCCCGACTGTTGTGAGTCATAACTCAACACCAGCAGATTCCTCTGTTTGAACCAGGTGTGCGTCGAGGCTGCCGCTAATAACAGTCATTTATTTGATATGCATGTGTCTACACTGATCACCTTCACATCTCTATTCCAGGTGATTCACACCAGAAGTATTTTATGTTTCCAAAAATGATCTGGCGGATATCTATTCGTCGTGTCAGTTTCTGTCTAATGTGCCTGGATGCAGGGGGAAGGAGCGGCGGGCGGGTGTGACAGTGGATGTTAGCAGTAGTTAGCTATGGCGAGAGACTACTGTCGCCACATTGCATGCGTTTAACGGGACAGTCTTGCGTTCACATCGCTAAAAGGATGTGGACACGTGGCTCTGGAATTAGCAGACACTCCCACAGCGGAGGATTTGTTCCCACAAGAGGTGAAGTCGCTTCGTCCGACAAAATCGAAAAACAGAGGTCAGCTGAGTCCAGGGCACAGGATGAACTTCAACCTGAGCCGATTGAAGAAACGTCACATCAGACCGAGTTTATATTTGGATACTAGCTCGCTGACTTGGCGTCAGGTTTCTGAGGTCAGATCTGAGATCGTCTCCGTCAGTGGATTCAGAGCAGCTGTCAGGATGTCTTTATTTATGTTCGCTCGTGAAACACTGGAGCAGAAAAGATGCAGGAGTGAGGAAAGAGCGTGCACGTCAGGTCCGTTTCAGCTCAGAGCTGCAGCGACAGTGACTGAGTTTGGACTTTTGCTTTTCTTTTTTTCTTTTCACACTACAGGATGAATTACCATGAAACCCAGTGGAAGGATGTGGTTTAGGTCAGGGAGCAATTTTGGTGCAGATCCAGGAATGTTTTTTTCTTCTTCTTTCTTTGGCCTCATGAGAAAATCTTTAACAATTTACACTGATTTCTCAGAAAATAGTTAATGGATCTTAATTAAAAAAAAAAAAAAAAAATCAGGCCTCTTTATGGGATTGACGTTCATGAGTGTGTGCGACTGGTGCAGGTCAAAAAAGAAATCGCAGCGCAGATTTGGGGATTTAGGGCCGACAGCTTGTTTGTGCAAAATCCGATAAAACAGGTTTATGATGGAATAATTGTCCGACATAACAAAACAGACGGAGACGAATAAGCATCCACAGGACAATGGTGGACAAAGCTGCTTAACAGTTTTATATATCAGTGGCCACATTGTTCGTAAGAGACAGTTTTTTTTGTTTACAGAAAGGGGCACTTCAGGGGCCAATCAGATTTCAATGGCCCCTGGCCCGCGCCCCTGGATCTGCCCCTTAAAGATTTATCAGGAGATTCTGTGAATCAAACGTTGCTGCTAGAATAGAATTGTTGGTCTTTATCTGGGGGACTCTTTCCTGCTGCAGGTGACAGAGAAGAAAAATGTAACTAGAAGCAGCGGCTCCGTAGAAAACACACAAGATGAGGGTGAAGCTGGTTCCTTACGTTCATGTCGCAGAAGGAGCCGAGGATGTTGCTTTCGTGAGCGGATATGTCCTGAAAGAAAAGAAAAGGAGGCATTAAAAACGTTTTCATCTGACATCAGACTAGTCAGGAGGCTTGTGGTTCCGCGAGCACGAGGCTGACACTAGCACGAACTCGCCCTTCACGCCAGTCGCTCACTTCAAGTCTTCTGACCACATTCCAGACAGAAATCATCAGAGTTGGAGAAAATAGAGAGAACAGAAGCAGCGACTTGTATAATGCCCTGAACTCACTGCTGTTTACAACTGCTACAGAAAAAAGGAGCGAGAGGCTGGAGCGTTCAGGGTGACCAATCGAAGAAGGGGAGCATCAGCTCCGCCTCCAAACTCTCAAAATTCACCTCGTAGCGCGAGCGAGTGAGCGACCGCAGGGAGGGGTCGAGATACTGCTCTGTGGGCGTGGGCACTGTGTCGATGCTTTGTGAAACAATTGAACAGATTCTTCTGAAAAACACTGAAGCCCGGGACCGGTCCGTACCTCTATGGTGGGGTGTGTGTTGTGTTTGTAGGCTGTGTAAAGGGGGAACTGGATCTGGAAGATCTTAGCAGCACACAGCAGCAGTTTCTCCCTCTCTTCTGTGCTCCAGGAGCTGAACGGGTCCTGACAGTCGCTGCCGGCGGCCCCGTCGCCGCCGTTACCTCCCCCGCACCCACTTCCGCTCTCCACAGGCCCCAGTGCTTCCATCTGGGCTTCACCCTGCTGGCTGGCCCCCTGACCCGGGGTCTTATTCTGGTTCAGGTCGGGTGTGTCAGCATCCTCTTCCGCAGAGTCTCTCTCCACATTCACAGGTTCGTCCTCCCCGGGTGAGGACGGCTGTGGGAGGGGTCCGGGTGCAGATTCGCCCCCGCTCCATTCAGAGCCCGCGCCCTCACCCCCTGATGCGCCTCCTTTATGGGTGTGGCCCTGGATGCTGCAGAGGCGGTCTCTCAGGCTGCTGATCTGGGTGATGACCAGGTTAATGAGGGCGAAGACCAGCTGGTTGAAAACCTCCAGGTGCTTGTACTCCTTGAAGCAGCAGAGACATTGCCTGGAAAAAACAAGGAGGGGAAAAAAAGAGTCAACACAGAAGTCTGGAGCTTTCAGGACATAACGTTAGTTCTGCTGCAGAGGTCAGGTTTTTGTTTTCAGAACATGGACCCCAGCGTCAGCCTGTTTCACCAAAGGCTCTGGAATCTCCTCATCTTCCTGATATATTTGTATTAATCTGTGAATAATCTGTGTTCTAACATTATCTGGAGCTTTCACTAAGGACCTGGCAGGAGAAAACTTCAGTTCAGGTCTGAAAGCAGCTTTAATTTGGTGAATTGGAGCAGGACAGAGCTGCAGGTGCTTATTGCAGTGGTTGATGCACTTACAACTCACAGGATCGAGGTAAGCAAAGCCATAAACTTGGTTTTTCTTGAGCCTAATCACATAAACTCTTTCAGACATGACTAATGTCAGAGGCACAGCGCTCACCTCTGTGTCCAGGAGCTGATGTAGCCCAGCACTCGGAGAGCATGTTCTTTCTTCAGCTGGAAGCCGCCTTCACTGCCGTCTGCATCCGATACTGAGGGGGAGCAAAATACAGAACAACTGTTAGACAACAACAAGAGACAAACCAAGAATCTCACTGAAAAGAAAAAAACACACCATAGACGAAGGAAACGCTACAACAGCTAACTTCTGTTTCCCAAACTGTCAAGATGAGATTACTGGTTCACCACAAGTTTACGCATCAACATGTTTTATAGGCTTCTTTAAATGTAATGTCTTCATTCAGCTGTATATATTTTGCTTTATTTGCAGAGTTTAACTTATTCTTAATAAATAAAAGCCCCCTGGTGGCTGGTTTTAATCAGCTACTTGATGATATGAAAATGAGGTGAGACGTAATGACTGACAGCCGAGACTGACCGACGGTCGGTCGAGCAGGTCCGTGCCTGATCGCTACTGCTCTGACCTATTTGAGCTGATCTTTGTCCAGCGGGGGGGAAGTGGAGACGTGTCCTCCATCTTTATTTACTCTGGTGTGAATGAGTGAATGTGACCAGTCGTATAAATGCTCTCTCTGTTTGTGATCATCAGACGTGTACACTGACAACGGCATCAGACGAGATTTAACTGTGACTCATACAAACACTCGGATTCTGTCTCAAATTACAGTTATTGTCGTGGCCTTCCCAGATCCACGCTGTCACACCCAGTCCGGAGGAATTCAATGTCTCCACCGAATCGCTGACCTGAATTTGGCGGCAGACACAGAGGGATTTCCTCACTGAATCCAAACACAACTCTTCTCACTGGTGACGTGTGAACAGAAGCTCATCGGAGGCTTCGGGACCAGGGGTCAGTGTTCTGGGATGTCGGTCCGGGCACATTTGGCCACGTTCCCGCTGAGTGACGCTGTTTCGCTGGTTTCACTTTATGATCACGTCCGGGAACAGGAACCCGGTGCCAACATTACACCCAGTTTATAGCTGCAGCTCAGCGTGGATATAAATACAAAGAGAGGGAGGACGTCTCTAACGTGGGTTCACACTCCTCGGCTCTGCAGTGACTCCGAGGTTCTGTCATGTATATAATATACACAGCTCAACTATATATTACATCGTTGTACTTTAGAAAGTGTTGGATCAAGAATCTTCGGTCACTTCAACCCTGCCTGTGTGCGTGGCCCTGAAAATTATAAATTCTTACATTTCTAGAAACAGGATTAGTCGTGTTTTGGGAAACACCAGCCGAGCACAGCTCCCTGTTGTGAAGGGGGATTCTTTTCTCTTACACACATGCTGCTGCAGCAAACCTGAGGTCACAGGTCAGCTACAGAATCAGCACATGGACTCGCCAGTCGCGTCGACAGAGCCGTCACAGCTGACGGGCCCCTGCTGCGGAAAACTCCCACCACCGCTCTGCTCAGTTGTAAAACCAATCTTAAACCCATCAGGCCTCATCGAGTCGGCGACAACAAAACCAGCTTTCACTGGGTTTCACCAGTTTTCTGTCTGGAGTCTGAGTCAGAACCCAGTCACACGACAGTGAAGTAAAACTTTTAACCTTCAACCGACTGTAAACCAACACCACATGAAACCCTCAAACATCTGCTGTCCTTTAATAAGTGATAAACTACGACCGTTCAACCTCCACTTTAAAAGCACCGTTGATTAACATGGATCAAACCTCGACACTTGGAAATCTGTTCAGTGCCGATGATCGATTTCAGTCCCTGTATTTAGTCGCTGCGTCTTCCTGTACTGGACTCTGATTGGTTTGTAGACGGCGTCTGACCTGGGCATGTTTTCAGTTGGGGGGGGGGGTAGAAGTCTTTCTGTTTGAATGGAGAAAATGAATAGAGCTTCATCTGGTTACCATGGTAACCTCATTATGGTATCAATAGCAGCATCAGCACCTTCAGGCGCAGTACTCCACAGTACTAGAGTACTCCACAGTACTAGAGTACTCCACAGTACTAGAGTACTCCACACTAGTATAAATGCAGTAAATAAACGTCCTCTGGTTCAAACTTTATATCGTCGGAGGTGAAGACTGCAGCTGCTTCCTCTTCTATTGTTTAATGTGTCTCTACTTCCTGTGATTGGTCCAAAAGTACAAACT